TTTTGCACTTGTGTTTGATATTTCTCCACGTGGAGAGAAGTTAGGGAACAAGTACGATAAAATCAAATTTTGTGTAAAATAACAAATTACTCCATATTCTTCAAGATAGTTCCAGATCTATGTACAGTGACAACCATACTTTAAAGATCATTCCAGATTTGCTATAAAAGAGTGTATCCTTTTTTTTTTTTTTTTTTTCTTATTCACGCTTTCTTAACAACAATTTTCCTCGAACAACAAATTATTTTTCACCTCCTGTACTTCTCATCTCATCCTATATATTAAGTATAATTATGATTTACCTAAAAAAAAAGGAGGCAATTTATCGTTCATCAAACTAACTACAAAGTAATTGATATTTTTATTAAAAAATAAAAATAAAAAATTATTTCAAAAATAAAAATAAATCCGGGAAAATTAGAATTAAAAATCCAGATAAAAATAAAATTGGGTAAGAATTTTTCATTCATCAAACTACAAAGTAATTGAAATTTTTATTTAAAAAATAAAATAAAATAAATAAAATAACAAAAAAAAAACAGAAATCCGGGAAAATTAAAAAAAAAAATTAGATACAAAGAAAATTGGATAATTCTTATCTATTTTCATTAACAATACAGTGAGAATTGAGAATGAATTTTTCAAATCTTTTTTTCTTTTTTAAAAAAATGGAGTACAAGAGCAAATCCCCAAATATAGATGTGTTTATAAGCGGAAAAATAACATATAGAAATTTGAAAGAAAAACATACCTCCGATTTGTTGAGCGGAAAGAGAGGATTTTTAACAAAAAGATTGTGATGAAAGAGAGTAGATTAAAGAGAGTGTGCTAAAATGCAAGAGATTAATGAAGGTCCTGCTTTGCTAGTGCTGGAGAGAAAGGGGAAGATTTGGATCTTAAGATGAAATTACTATTTTACCCTTATATAGTAATGATATTTTCTAAAATGCCAGTGGTCGTCTGGTCGTCTTCACATTTCTATATAATAGAAATCTATATAATAGAAATTTTGAGTGTGTAATGTGTAACATATAATTGATCATATTAAAATATGTGATGTTCCTTTAAAAATTGATCACAAACAACCCAAGCATGGACCATAATTGTGAAACATAATTATAGTTTGTTTAATTACTATTCATAACAACGATTTGAGAAAAGAGAAGGAGAGTGAGAATATTGTTATTTGGCTAATGCCTTGTTGCAACAAAATACTTACTAAAAGAAAAATATATAACGAGAAAAATAAATAGAAATTTAGTTTCCAATTCTATCAGATTATCGATTAATATTTATTGTAGAATCTTACATGTAATTACTTTATAAATAATATGATTGTATAAATATTTTCGAATTTAAATTGATGCGTTAATTAAGGAGGAAGGATTGGGCCATAACACAGATATTTTGGGCCAGAATTCTAATACGTTTTGTGCCAGATGAGCCTGGTTTGTTTGAACCACTAAGAGGGTGTTTGAACTGATTTAAAAGTTAGTCAAATCTATTTTTAAGTCAGATTTTAACTTCTGAAGGTATTTGATAATTATAAAGATAAATTTTTTAAATAAGTCAAAAATGGCTCAAAATAAGTTAGGAAGTGTTTGACAATGTTATAAATAACTTAAAATAAGTTAAAAACCAAAAGTAGGTCTACCCCTACTTTTTATTTTTTGACTTAAAAATCATTTAAGTTTGAATTTTTATTTTTAACTCAAAAGTTACTTTTTTTAAGTCAATCCAAACAGACTCTGAATCATGAAAAAAAATAATCAGAAGTCCTTGAGTTTTACTTGGAAAATCAGAGAAAGGGTCTCATTTCCTGCTATGTTTTGTAATTATGGATTTAATTTTATATATATAGAAAAAGTTTCCTTTATAGATTTAAAATAGAAAAAAAAAATGGATCTTTTGTCTATTATTTTCAAATTTATTAAGGCAGTGCAAAAGCTAGCTTAAAATCAGCTCATGAAACAACCCAAACTCGATCATCACTAGCCATCCAATCTTTCAACTCAAATAATTTGATTCTTTTGTAATATAATCAATGTTCACTTAAATGGAGAAAGGAATTAACATATCTTGTTCAGATCTAACAAGATTGAAAAAATCGTCTATATTTATCTTCTTCTTTTTTATTTTAAAGTTACTTTTTCATTTCAGTTTACATATTACATTTAAAAAAAAAATACATTTCAAATATGTTATAAAAGTTTCATAGTCATATAAATACTATAACATGTTAAAAGAATGGGAAAAAAGTCTGAAATATATCTGAATTTTGATCGAAATTGTTGTAATTATGCCGAACTTTGGAAAGAACTTTTTACCCCCTGCACTATTTAATAGTGTATTTAAAGGTATATATGTGCCCACATGAATATCATAAATATTGCATAATTATAAATAGTAACGTGTCCATGTGGACACATATATACCTTTAAAATACACTATTAAATAGTGAGGGGGTAAAAGATCCTCCATCGTAACAACAATTTCGACCAAAATTGAAATATTTTTCGAACCCTTTTCCCTAAAAGAATTATCAAGTTCAATTATTAGTTTTTTTAATTTGTAGTCATTCAACTTAATGTCATATAAATTGAAATTAAAAAAATATAGTATTATAATGGAAAGGTAATGAGTATCAAGTTGAACAATCTTATTCTTAATTAAGGTCCCCCCTATATCCTAATCATTGATTTCCATGATTTTAATATATGGTGGAGGCTATATTAAAAGTGCTCGTAAGTAACCCTTCTGAAATTCTAAAGGGCAAGACTTACATATATATTCTATGAATTATTACGGACTAACTTTTACTATTAGCTAGTGGGCACTCAGCCAACCGAATCTTTTCCCATTTTTTTTTTTTTTAATTCTGATACCTGACGTTGATTTTAATAAGACTCTTGCTGTGGGAAAACATCTAAGTATTAATATAAAGATAAGAATATAATACTACTATTGTCGTTTACCATATCTTTTTTCTTTTTAGTTTCATTTTTTTTTGTTCCAATTCTTTGTGGATTATATAAGAATCTTTGTTAGATACTGAGCATTTTGGGAGGACATCTAAATGTGACAGATCAAATAATAATGGTGTGTATTTGACGTCTTGAATTTGAGTTTGAATGTGAAAAAATTCTTGTTAGTTAGAAAGTATTTTTTTTTTAATGGATCCTATGCGGTGTAAATTTAAAATAATCGAATTTTAATGCAATGAAGTTTTTTTGTAATTATTTTTCATATTTGAGGTGAGAAAAAGAGGACGACATTCCTTCCTTTGAATATACTCACCACACTTCGTGGTTATGAACAACTTGGAGGAAATTCACTCTGCTTCTTGTCCTTTTAGAGTCAAACTAAGCGGCTGTTTGCCATAGTTTCCAAATATTTCCCACTTGATTTGGAATTTTGGGAGGTAGAGTTGATAGAGTTGTGATTAATTATATTTTTGATAAAAAAATATTTGGAGTAATATTGTTCTATGTTTAAATATACTGTAATATAATTTTAAAAATGAAAAATACGTTGGAAAATAAGTTGTATAAGTTGATTTTTCAAAATTTAAGTATATCTTTAAGTTGGATTTAAATTTTTTATAGTTAAACACTGTTTTATAAATAAAATGAAAAATTATTCCAAAGAAAAAGTGAATTCACTTTTATGCCAAATGGGTTATAATCTCGAGTCTGAAGCCAAAAAGATGAAAAAAATTGAACAAAATTTCTAAAAGAACAATAAAATTGAGTAAGAAATAATAATAATAAAAAAAAACATTTGAATGGACCCGTTGAGAATGTTAAATTTTATGTATAAGGTTTATGTCATAATGAGCCTTGTAAGGCTCGTGTCAGAATGAGTCTTACAAGGCTCACTCCGATATTTACAAGACTCATTCTGACATGTGCCTTCTCTTTTAAAAAATAAAAGGTGTTGAGTTTAAATAAAAAAATCATTCTTCATTATTTATTCAATCATTTTGTTGTATTTTTGTGTTTTTTTTTTCATTTTTTTTCCAGTATCTATATGTAAATAAAAATGTTAGTGATTCGGTCAAATGTAATAGTTTTTTTTATATAGTTTGATAATATTGAGGACAAATTATAGGGACATGAAAAAAAAATATAAGGACAAAAATAACTTTTTATCCTTTTTTATGTCAACAAAAGAAGACATAGTTTAGGGTTGCATATTGTTCGGTTCGTTCCGATTTTGAAATTTATTGGGTTGACTTATTGATTATAGATTTAGCATGTCTACAAATCGAAAATCAATAAGTCAAATCGATAAATTTTAAAATCGAATTGAATCGAACGATACACAACCCTAAACATCATTTTTTTTTGTTATAAAAAGAAAGTTAGAAAAAAAAATCTTTTATATTTTTTTTCATGTTTCTATATTTTCTCCTCAATATTATCTAAATTATATAAAAACTATTATACTTGACTGCATCATTTACATAATTTTATTTACATATAAATAGTGAAAATAGAAAAAAAAAACGAAAATACAACAACAAAACGATTGAATAAATAATTAAAAAGCAACATTAATTTTTATTTAAAATCAACGCGTTCATATTTAAAAGGGAAGACTCATTTCAGAATGAACCTTGTAAGACTCTTGTCAGAATGAACCTTATACATAAAATTTAACATCGTCACTAATTTCATCCAAATATCACCTTTTTTATTTCATACTCAATTTTGCTATCCTTTTGAAAATTTTAGTTATAAGAGTTCAATTACGTTAGGGACCCATAAAAAAAGTATAAATTATAGGAATGACATATTATAACTACTAAATAACATCCCATCCTTTCTGATCGTCCTCCTTATGCCTGGAATTCATCAACTCAATGTGGTTTGACTTTATTAAAGTCACAAGATACTCAAATTTATTGTCAACCTATTAAAAAAAAATAACATTCAGTTTTATATTTATACATGAACCTGAAAAAATTTGATATCATTACTTACATAATCCTTCATATGTTATTTCAGTTCTTCAATATCGGGATATACAGACTTATCTTTTTGACCTTGTGAAGAGACGTGGACAAAAGATATAGCAGCCGGGGTAGGTGCTTCATCTGGCATTAAGAATGACTGGTTTATTGGCGGCCTTAGCTGCTCTGATGATTTAGGTTCCGACAACTTTGTTTTAGATGTATCGATTTTCTTTCTCCTTTTGGGTGGTGGTGGAGATGATGTACCAAATACACGTGATGATCTCCTAAACAAATACCCATGAGGGCTTGTTGAAAAATCCTCAAAACCTGAACTATCTTTTGTTTGAACTTTCTTTGCATCAACTGCTATTGTGGAGGGTCCAGGAGTATGAGCAACTTGAATATCGGGTAAATCAAGGGCTTCCACTTCGTCTGGTGTTGGTACAATGTTTGAACATGCATTCTGAATTCGCCGTTCAAATGTTGAATGTTATGACAATAATGTGTATCATAGAAAAACTGTTATTTACACAAAAAATTGAAAGCTTATTGAAAAACTGTTATTTGCAAATCTAAAATGAATGCTACCTCGGAGAAAATGCTAGACATAAACGTTTCAAATTTTGGCTTTACAGCCACGACCCTCAAATTACAAATCCTGGGAATATCACTCGCTACTTTAACAACAAACTCTGGATTTAGACTAGATGCACATTCGTAAATCCATACATTGAGTGCATACGACATACCAAATAAACGATAGAGTGATATAATTAGCTTATCGAATGCAATCTGACCCCAAGGATACAATTCATACCTGCCATCTTCGATCATTAGAAATTCTTCGATCCGTATCGAGGTCTCACCAAGTTGACATAACATGAATGTATGGACAAAGTATAAGATTGCCATCTGGACGACGTCCTGTGTGGTCTCCCAATTGCTCATTTGAAAACGTTGAATCAAACGACTTTTGGTTATACCTGCAGTTGCATCAGAGAAATATCTTTGTAATAACTGGCTCGTAGTGGATTTCGGGTATGAAAAATCCTTAGCATTTCCTTTGCATTTATGGCCAGTTACAATGGCAAAATCCTTGATACTAAACTGCAATACAGTCCCGTTAGCATGTCGAACATGCAACAAGTCTTTGTTCTCATGTTGCACCTCCAACAACAATAGCCACTTAGTAATCTGACCTTGAAAATTACATTTTGAAATGTTTAAATATGGTCCAAAAATTGTATTCTTGAACATTTCAACACCCTCCTCATTTATGGACTTTTTTATTTCATTAGCAAAATCAAAATTGAACACTGCTCCAAATCTCAATGGATGTGCTGGTATTTTTTTATAACATAATTCATGCGCTGCAAATTCAAAAAATAAAACATAAAATTGTACTTGTCTAATTTCAACCACACGATGTAATTAAGAGTGAATGATACATTGAGGATAATCTGAAAATTCAGTATATACATCATAGTTTTATAATGACATCATATCAAACACATCGTACAATGCATAAGATACATGAATATATTAACATCAGTCCAACCAACAAAATACTTGAATCATTATTATGAAAAAATTGTATATGACACTAACACAATGAAAGATACATTAATGGAGCACTAAAATAATCTGATACACCTTCAAAACTGTACAAAAAATGATGATTTTACTGTATTAGAAATTAACATGATTGAAGATACATCAATGGAAAAATATGAATCTGAGATACATTTAAAAATAGAATCACTACAATACAATGCTGAAAATTGGGGGTCTAATGTATAATGAAAACACAAAATCAACAACATACTACACTAATAAGAAATTGTGAGAGATGTGTCTTCATTGTTAAATGACTCTTAATTCGACCAAACAAACCACATGCATCAATGTAAAATTAGGATTTTAATGTATCAACAAAACACAAAATTAATCGATTACAAAATCCATAATGGTCTAACATACTATGAAAACCTTGAATTGGGAAGTAATGTATCTTCATTATGAATGTATCAAACTATTTCTGTCCAAACACAACCAACAACATAACAAATCCATAAAAATGTAAAATTTTGTTTAAATACATACCTTAGAAAGTGTGGGTCGAAAAATGACAGATGCCGCTTTTCTTCGCCCTTTTTTGGGGATTTCTCCGACCTTTGTTTTTGGCTTGACAACACTCTTGTCCTTCATCGTAATGGGTCATGCAAATGCTTAGATCTATTTTCAGCCCACATTTCATCGTCAGAATCATATGTACGATTATTATTAATATAATTTATTTGAGAAACACCAACACTAAGCGATACCCCGTTCCATATGTAGTAGTACAAAACAAGAAGAAGACAACAATGGAGAAGAAAACTTTCTACCTATTAGAAACTTAGAAACTGATAAACTTGAGATAGACTCCTTTTGAAAATCAAAATGAATTTGAAAATTGTAACTGCTAAAGAAGTGGAGAGATTTTAGGGATAAAATGGAGGAGTGAAATGGGTAGTGGGAAACGTAGGTGTTGGCTGTAAAAAGGAGTGAAATCTTTATGTATCCTGAAGATTTTATTAATTGGGGGAATTAAGGAATTTTTGATGTTTTTTAAAAAAGAAGAGATAAATGGATATTAAGGTAAGTAAAGGAGTGTAGTTAAGTAATTTTACCTAAAAAAAAAGAGAAGCAAAATAGCGTTCATTTTTTATTTTTTTGTTAAGATGAATTTCAAGTTTGAAAAAGTTGTTTCCATAAATTTTTAAGGGAAAATTAGCTAACTAGTCAAAATTCCTAACATAATTATTAAAAATATCTACACTTTAAAATAATCATTTAAAATATTGTAAAAATTTTAGCAAATAAAGTGTATCCATCATATTCTCTCTCATATTTTTTCAATTTAATTTTTATCTCTCTCATATATAGCAAATTATATGTTTATAATTATCCTCTTAAAATAAATCTTATTTTCACTCTCTTTCAACCTCAATTTTCACTCTCCTTCCACCTCACTTTCTCTCTATTCACTATTTTTATTCCCCTCTCTCCGTCCAGATTCTTTCTTCTTCTTTTTTTCAAAATGAAAAAGAATTATACAAAAGATATGCATCAAATTATCATTTGATCGGATAACTTCTTATTGAGTTTGTATTTATTAAGTTCATATTAGTATATATGCATCAAATTATCATTCGATCGTATAAATTCTTATTGAGTTTGTATTTATTAAGTTCATATCAGTATTTTTTAGTTTTGATTTGTATATTTTGAGTCTTTATGTATTTTTGTTTTACAATATAAAATCGTTTATTTAGTAAATTTTCTTTTGGGTCTGTATTTCTATTAACCTCACTACTATTTAATTTGTGTTCATATTGATATTGTCAGTTGTATTTTTCATATGTCAATTATATTTTCAGAACATTGCATTTCTTTGAATGAAATTATAAGCGAATTAAATGATATATATTCTTACTTAAATTTGTATTCATACTAATATGTATGTTGTATTCTTTATATTTTAATTGTATTTTTTAGTAATATTGTATTTATTTTAACATATTGTATTGTATTCATGTGCATTCAAATCATTCATTTTGTATGTTATGTTCAAGTTCAATTATTAACTAGATTTGTATTCAAAATAAATGTATTTTGTATGTTGTATATCAATTATTTGTACTCATATAGTTTCATTTTAACTTTTGCTTAAACAGAAAAAATTGTATTCTAAACTGGATTTTGTATTTCAAAAATTGTATTCTAAAGTCGTTTCTTAATTGTTCATCAAATTAATTATTCACTTTTATTTTTAACTTTTGATTTAAACAAAAGTTGTATTCTAAACTGATTTGTATTTCAAAATTTTCTTCCCAAACAGAAAAATAGAATTTAATCGAATTCACTTCAACATAAATTGAGTAGTATCAATGGAAATTTAATAATTGATATTGGAGAATTTGATGAAGAAGAGGGATGAGTGCTATGCGTTTATTTTTAAATTGGTAACTTATGAAAATTTTAAGTGATTTGTTCTTTTTTTTAAAAAAAAATCTCTCCGCTAAATTTCTCATTTTTGTTGTTATATAAGTGTATTCTTTTAATTAAATCAAATAAAAAAACATAAATCAAATACATAACAAATTAAAATATTGACATTTTTAATAAATATTGAAAGTCAAATAAAAAAACATAAATCAAATACATAACAAATTAAAATATTGACATTTTTAATAAATATTGAAAGTGTGGCTAAGGAATCCTATTAAATGCTAAAATATAGACATTTTGAAAAAATTTCCCAAAATTTCAAATACCCTTGTTTCATTTTTTTCCAAATATTATTTCATTTCGAACACTTTTTTATGTTCAATGCCCACTATTCATCAACATTCAAAATTTAGGCAAAAAAACCAAATCCCTCAAATATAATCAGATTATTTTCCATATCAAATCAAGTAAAATAAATCACTAATCAATTTTTTTCAGAGTTGATTCTATTTATAATTTGATTTAATTTAATTTTCGATTCAATTTTGTTCACCTCTACATACATATATATATATATATACAAGTTTCACCTTTTTTCTATCTATTTGGTATACATGATAATGGTAAATAAAAGATCTTTTAATTCCGAATCAGTTATCAAAATGGATTTTGTAATGCATGTATACTTATCTTTCATACCATATAAATAGCAAAAAGTTTATACTAGTACTTGATATTGAACCAAATGATTGTGTTGATATAAACTTTCCCAAAATATACAACTGGAGCCACAAATCTTAATTTCTCAAAATAAAATTATTATTATTATTACATTAAATTAAATAAAAAAGAAATCTAAACCAGAATCTAGAGAAACTTTTGACTGGTGTGAAATGACTATTCTCTCTCCACCACGAATCCTCCTCTCACTTTCTCTCGCCGGCCCGCCACATGACCGAAGGGCTGAGGTACATTTTGACGATCAACCAATGAAATCACGCCACATCAGACTCTCATTCAAATCCCAAATCACGTCCAGGTTCAATGAACCTAGAAGAACGCCCTGTCTCAGGTCCCCTTTAATACTTCTCACCATGATTTCCTCTGTGTTCAACACACACTCACGGACTTCTTCCGATCACCATCTTCCTCTATTTTTCACAAAGAAATTTAGCGGTTTCTTTGCTGGAACAAATCTTTCTTTGTGCCTGTGAAATCAATCTATCTGTGTTGTAGAAATGGCTTTGGCTTTCACTTCTTCATCTGCAATTCATGGGTCTTTGTCGTCATCTTCTTCTTATGAACAACCCAAAGGTAGCCTTTTACTTATTCCTTCTAAAGTTTTGATCTTTATCCTATAATGTGATAATTTGAAGCATTTTAGCATAGGGGTCTACGGATTTTTGGGTTAATTTTATTTTTTATCAATTTAGCATCTGGGTTAGTGTATTCTTCTGTTATTGTTTCAGATTTCTGCTGTATATGATTAGTTTCGAATTTCTTTCCTTGCGTGTGATATATTTGGGTTGAAAATTGATCTTTTGCTCTCTTTTTTTCCAGATTTAAAGTTTCAATTTTTTATCCCTATGTAGTTGAATTTGATATTTTCCGACAATTTTGCATCTGGGTTCAAATATTCTTGGGTTCTATTTCATTTTTTTTTGGATTTATTATTTATATATTTGTGCATTCTGTTTGGTGTTTGCAGTATCCCAATTGGGTACCTTTCAGCCATTGGAAAGGCCTCAACTATTGTCGTCGACTGTTTTGAATTCTCGGAGGCGTTCGGCAGTGAAGCCATTGAATGCTGAGCCTAAGAGGAATGATTCAATAGTTCCGTCAGCAGCTACCATCGTGGCTCCTGGTACATGAAATTTTCAATATATGTCCTTGCATGTGTTCGTTTTTTTGATGATGTTGAAGGATGGTAAATGACTCTTGGGCTGTGTGTGTTTGCTTTTTTGGTGAATTTGCAGAGGTAGGAGAGAATGTTGAGGCAGAGGACTTTGAGAAATTGGCTAAGGAGCTTCAAAATGCTTCCCCTCTTGAGGTTATGGACAAAGCACTAGAGAAATTTGGGGATGACATTGCTATTGCTTTCAGGTACAGTTTGTTTTAATCTTGCTTTAGTGTGAGCCTAGTTTCTGTTCATAAGGATTTAGGTTGTATTGTGTGGATGATGTTTTCTGTGATGTGCACAATAAATGTTGAAAAACAATCAGATGCTTCTTCTAACTAGGGAAGTGTAAGGTGTTTAGGGATGAATAGTTTCATGATTTGGGGACAAAAAAATGTTTAGTCATCTAAACCATTAAACCTATACTTATGATACTTATTTCTATTTCTTAAATTTCATATTCTTATATGTTTGATTGAGCATTTCCATATTGACATCACATGAGTGTTTAATGCTTATAAGCTAGGCTAGAAGACTATGAGTTTTAGTATTTGAACCAGTCAGGAAGTATTTGTTTTATGTTACATGTGAACAACACGATAAAGAAAAATAGTAAGAGTGGATTGTTGTGATCCTTGCTGATCTATTTATGGACTTTTGCAAAAATTGCTCCTTGATCAATGCCAAGGGGAACTTGTTTTGCTTTGTGACATTTGCTAATTTTATCTTTTTCACTTGATAGTCTATATTTCGTTTGAAATTTTGCTATGGGTGCCTTGGTGAATAAGGCATATTGTTTTAAGTTCAGCGTCCTGATATGTGAGCTATTTTACTTGTCTGTCAAAAATCAGATTCATTTGAGAGCTGTCTTTATTGCTCTATTTTATTTTGTAGCAGAATGATGATTTTCCAAAGTGATTTTGTCCCTAAGCAGCTCTTTGATGATTTTCTTATGTTGCAGTGGTGCTGAAGATGTTGCTTTGATAGAGTATGCACATTTAACTGGCCGACCATACAGAGTATTCAGCCTTGATACTGGGAGGTTGAACCCGGAGACATACCAATTATTTGACACAGTGGAGAAGCACTATGGCATTCGCATTGAATACATGTTCCCTGATTCAGTTGAAGTTCAGGCCTTGGTTAGGACCAAAGGGCTTTTCTCTTTCTATGAGGATGGCCACCAAGAGTGTTGCCGTGTAAGGAAGGTTAGACCCTTGAGGAGAGCCCTAAAGGGCTTACGTGCCTGGATCACAGGTCAGCGTAAAGATCAGTCCCCTGGAACTCGATCAGAAATCCCCATTGTTCAGGTGGACCCTTCTTTTGAGGGGTTGGATGGCGGTGCTGGTAGCTTGGTGAAATGGAACCCCGTGGCTAATGTGGACGGAAAAGATATTTGGAACTTCCTGCGTGCCATGAATGTGCCTGTGAACTCATTGCATTCACAAGGATATGTATCCATTGGATGCGAACCTTGCACAAGGCCAGTCCTACCAGGGCAACACGAGAGAGAGGGAAGATGGTGGTGGGAAGATGCCAAGGCCAAGGAATGTGGCTTGCACAAGGGCAACATCAAGGATGAAAGTATAGATGGCGCTGTCCAAACAAATGGTACTGCTACCATTGCTGATATTTTTGATACCAAGGACATTGTTACTTTGAGTAAGCCTGGAGTAGAGAACCTACTAAAATTGGAAGACCGAAGAGAGCCTTGGCTCGTTGTTCTTTATGCACCTTGGTGCCAATTTTGCCAGGCAATGGAAGGATCCTATGTTGAATTGGCTGAGAAGTTGGCTGGTTCTGGTGTGAAAGTGGGGAAATTTAGGGCAGATGGTGACCAGAAAGCATTTGCACAACAAGAATTGCAGCTTGGCAGCTTCCCTACAATACTCTTCTTCCCAAAGCACTCTTCAAAGGCCATTAAGTACCCTTCAGAGAAGAGGGATGTAGACTCCTTGCTGGCTTTTGTGAATGCTCTTAGATGAAAAGCAAATGGTGTTTGATCAATCACCATTGTTTTGACAAAGAAGTAATACAAGAGGGAGATATGGGGGAGTTGTAGAATATAGTGAAGAATGGTGGCAAAGTGCACCTTCCTCTTTGTGCTTTCTAAGTTTCTTCTTGTATGGTGTTTTTGGTATATGGTTGCTCTCCCTTCTCCTCCTCTTCATTTTATTTTCCTTAGGTCCTACTTAGGACAAATAAGTTTTTTACTTTCCCATCATTCTCAAGTAGAGAAGTATATATGTCTGAGGGCTCAATTTTGTTGGTTGAAGCAAAAGTGTTTACTTTCTCCATCTTCTCTCATTCTTCTTCTAATTCTCTTATGTCTATAATTAAGAACAACTCTCTCTAACTTTTAATAGAGAATTCTCGGCTGTATTTATCCGAGTTCATTCACGCTATGTTTATTATGAGAAATGATTGACTTTTGTGGTGATTAAAATTAGCAACGGAAAAGGAACTGGAGAAGGTATATGATTATGTTGATATTTTTTGTTACAATGTCATCATAACTCATAAATATGGTGAGTGGGGGACCTGTCAAGGTTTAACAAAGGTTCACAATCTAGAACACCAAATTGAAGACCTATCAGATAAATGCAAAATTCAACCACACCAATAACGCTTGTGATAACGTGATGAGTATTTTTTTATCATTAATTAATCATAAATATAGAATTCGAGCCTTATTTTTGTCGGGAGAAAGCACTTTACCCTCTAATATGGTACTTCAATACTTGAAAAAGAAAACCAACAAAATTTTGATGATAAAAATTAACTGATATAGTTGCTTCTTTAATATAATAAATTTTTGCATATTTAATTCGAAACATGAAAAGAATTTATGTAAATATAAAATTGTGCATGGTTCAAATAGACAGAGAAAGTTTCATTAGAAAATTAAGACACCAATACCGAAAATGAGTTCAAGGAATAAGGTGGTATTTCCTAACAAGTCTTCATTTCATTTCATTTCTTGTCTCAATTTATGTGATACTTTTTTATAATTAAAAATATATATCATCTTTTTATGATTAAAAATATATATCATCTTTTTATGATTAAAAATATATATCATCTTTTTATAATTAAAAATAACTTATTGTTTTCTTGGGGAAAAGGTAAAAAATGTCCTTGAACTAAGTGAAAGGAATAAAAATGTCATCCGTTTATAGTTTGACTCAAATATGTCTTTATCGTCAATACTTTGGTTCAAAAATGCTCTTGCAGTCAATATTTTGGTCCAGAAATACCCTTATAGTTACAAAATGGGTCAAAAATACCCTTTTCCGAATATATATATATATATATATATATATATATATATATATATATATATATTTCTTTTTAAACACATCTTCTTCCTAAAATATTATTAAAGAACACTCTTGTAAAATCACTTTAACAAATAAAAATGTAGGAAATACTTTTTTCTTCTTAAACTCATTTTATCAATTAAAATAGAATAACTTCATGTATCCTTTTGATATACAATATATGCCATATTTATATAAGATCATAGTATATCCATCATTAGTTTATATTTATATAACGATAAAAATTAATGATAATAAAATAAGAAATATTTTCATTTTTTTTCTGAACTGAAGTAAGATAAACATTTGCTTATTTTAAAAAAATTATTAGAAAAAGAATGTGTTAAAAAGAAAATAAATAATATATTTATTTGAAAAATGAGCATTTTTGACTCATTAAATAACAATAAGGGCATTTTTGGACCAAAGTATTGACGGCAAGAGCATTTTTGGAACAAACTACAAACGGAGGGTATTTTTGTTCATTTCGCATAGTTTAAGGGCATTTTTTAACCAAAATATTGACGGTAAGGACATATTTGAGTCAAACTATAAACAATGATATTTTTGTCCTTTTCACTTAGTTTAATTGTATTTTTTATCTTTTTCCCTTTTTTTTTTTAAAAAAAAAAACAGAAAACATCGATGAGTATTAGTTGATTCACCTCCCATGTTCCCCACCCGACCCCCAATTTATGGTGTTAAAAAAAGAGACTATAAAATGAAGTTTTTGAAATTAATACCCCAAAAATCTTAATAGATCTTTAGCTCAAAACAATAGAACCCTAGGCATCCCATTGCAGAGTAGTGTTCGCCAAATTTTCCAGTTATTTTCCTTCTCCTTTCTCTCTTTGTTTTTGGTGTCGTCTGCTTCAATTTTCTTCCTCCTTAGGTAAGACTTAATAGTTCCGTTCAAATTTACTTTCCTCTCTTTTTTAAGCTCTTTTATCTCTAGATTTAGTTTGTGTTCATATGTTGTATTTATACTTTAGAATATATTATCGTCTAAATAGGTTTATCTTTCAGTTAGATAAGCTTTGTTAGTATTAAACTCATTGTGATGTTCAATAGTCAATACAGTATGCACTTCTCCATCACTTTTTCAAGTGCAATTAAAAGTTGTTTTAGCGAACTGATCCTTCTCATTAATTTGATCATTTTTTCTGCATTCCTTGTTAGATAATGGATGATAAAGTTGTTACTGTGGATGATCAAATTGTAGCAGAGCTTACAATCCCGGAAAATGTTGCCAAAGAATTATTACTTGTGTCAAACTCATCTTCTTTAGAAACGGCACTCGAGAAGCTGATAGAACTTGCCAAGGAGGAGGGTGGACGGTTAGATCTGTCGTCCAAGAATGTTGTCACCACTGTCCTCCATCTCTGCCAGTCTCTGTCATCTATCTCTTACCGTTACCTCCTTTTATTGTCTCTTAAGGTACTTAGAAATCTGTGTGCTGGGGAGATAAGAAATCAGAATGAGTTTCTTCAACAAAGAGGAGTTGAAATTGTCGTGGATGTTATTATGTCGGTAGGACTTACTCCTGATCCTGATTGTATGATTATTCGAGTTGGGCTGCAACTTCTAGGAAACTACTCAGTGGGTGGAGGAGAACGTCAATGTGATGTGTGGTACCAATTGTTTCCTCATAAGTTCTTGAAGATTGCTAGAGTTAGAAACCAGGAAATATGTGATCCTTTATGTATGGTTATTTACACTTGCTGTGATGGTACGGATGGACTGCTTACAGATTTATGTTCGGAGAAAGGGTTGCCCATTCTGATAGAAATTTTGCGTACTGCATCAGCCGGTAAAGACCAGTGAATTTTGTAACTTCTGATATATTCAAATCTTTTGTTATTTGATTATTATGGTAAGCTTATGCGTTCATACTCTTTTGCAGTTGGTCTTAAAGAAGTTTGGTTAAAGTTGTTACTCTCAAAACTTTGCATTGAGGGCTCCTACATCTCATCAATTTTCTTCAAATTACATTCATATCCTTCCGTTGAGAACAATGGTGTTGTTACACATGTAGTTGATCAATTTGTTATTGAGCAGTCTTATCTGTTGAGTACACTTTCAGAAATCTTGAATGAGCGAGTAGAGCATATTGTTGTTTCTCATGATTTTGCTCGAAGTATCTTTGGGATATTGAAGAGTGCTTCTGGGGTTGTTGATTTTTCAATAAGAGGGAAAAGTGATCTTCCAGTTGGGTCTGCTCCTATTGATGTTCTAGGATACTCTCTCACCATCTTGAGAGATATTTGCGCTTCTGATCACTTGTCAAGCTCTAAGGAAGAAAGTTCAAAGGATGTCGTGGACGTACTTGTTTCCTCTGGGCTTATTGAATTTCTTTTGAACTTGCTTTGGGATCTTGAACCTCCAACGACAATTAGGAAAGCAATGAAGCAGGATCAGATCAAGGAGGGAACAATATCTTCTTCATTTAGGTGTTGTCCATACCAAGGTTTCCGGAGAGATATCGTTGCCATACTTGGAAATTGTGCTTATAGGAGAAGGCATGTCCAAGATGAGATTAGGGATAAAAATGGGATCCTTTTACTGCTACAACAGTGTGTTATAGATGAAGATAATCCTTTCTTAAGGGAGTGGGGAATCTGGTGTGTGCGAAACCTATTGGAAGGGAATACAGAAAACCAAGGGGTTATTACTGATTTGGAGCTTCAAGGAACTGTAGATGTTCCAGAACTTGTTAGACTTGGGCTTCGAGTAGAAGTTGATCCCGTAACTCGACGCACAAAGCTTGTGAATTCCTCATGATATGTCAAGAAATGAAAGTAAAAGTTGCAACTTCTGGAGTTGACAAACTGATGTTCAGGAGACTTGTTTCTTGGTTTGCTTAAGATTGATTCACATATTCTGGAATGTCCATAAGAGGTAACACTAAACTTCATCTTACTACAATTTTAGTAATAACTTGTATTTTACCTCCTAGGTTGACAGGTTTCAGTTTGTATAATTAGTGGTAAAACTTAATATTATTAGACTTGTACTGTTTGAATTCCTTATGTATAAAATCTACCCATATGCCATTGAGTATTAGTAACTAATTTTCTGGAACTTCCATTACAATGGGCTCAAAAGTGAACCTAGTTGAGATTTCGTGATTGGTGTAGAGTTTTAGTGGTAGAATGAGTTAGATTTGATGAAAGATATCATGGGTTGCTAAAAATTTCTGATAGAAGTTTTGTTTTAGTTAAATGTTTATTGAAGTGGCTATATTCTGCTTCTTTATGGATACGTCCGCCTCTGGCGCTGTATAATTGTAAAATAATGTTGTATTACCAGTTAACTGCATTTCTTCAATGTTTCCAAATTTTTGCTTGTGGATCCTCCTTCACTTATTCATGCATATTCTCAACTGCATTTCTTCAATGTTTCCTAATTTTTGCTTGTGGATCCTACTTTCACTTATTCATGCATATTCAATGCTAGAGGCTATTTCATCCTGTCATTTCTGTTAGGAATCATTAGCAACTTTCATGTTCAGAGAAGTGCATCGACTTACTAATACCTGAGTTCTTATATTTATTTGTGCTCTCTAGGCTAGAGGTGGGACTCAAGAAGTACACTTCCTGCCTTTTACACCTGTCAACAAGCACACAACTATTACTTTCATAGAATTGATGGTAATTGACATAGGTTTAGCAAAGGTGAGTTGAAGAGATGAGCCATAGCTTGACAGTCACAAGACTTCTTACTACAAGAATAGTATGACTCTTAATTGGATGAACAACTGTACATCATATTAATTATCAAAAATGGGATTCTCCTACATACAGCTGATTAGTTTAGAATGTCTTAAAAGAGTGTCTACTGGCAGTTCTTGCTTGACCCAAATTAAAGGACAATTTCTCTAGATAGCTTTGCCGCAAATGTATTGGAACTTTTTTTTTATAGCTGTAATTATAAAATTCTGTTGCTCCACTGTTTTTAATTGTGCATTAGGATTCTAAAGACTTTTTATCCAC